ATGGCCATCGGCGGGGGGTGGGCCCAGCTGTGTGGCTCTGGCAGGAGGTTCGGCTGCAGTGGGGGGTGGAGGGGTGTGCATGCTAAGTCTCCGGCCCGGTTGGGGTAATTAGGGGAGACGTGTTTGAGGAAGGTCCCCCCCTGGTGGGAAGGCCGGTGCGGGGCCGCTGGCTGCAGCGTTGCCGGGGGTCCTGGCGGTGTGGCCGCCCAGGGGACCAGGAGGTCGTGCGGCTGATGGGTTAGGTTTCCTCCAGGAGACCAGCGCTCGGGTGCTCATTCCTGCAGTGCCCGCCGCCGGGCAGCCCTCTCAGGCCCGCTCACCCTCCCTGCCCTTCTGTTGACAGGAAGGCGTAGGGAGTCAGGTAAAAAGCGGAAAAGAAAAAGGTTAAAACCCACCTAACGAGCCAACCAGGTAGGAGCTGTGGCTGGACGGGCCACGCCCCGGGGGAGGGCGAAGGCTGATCACAGGGCGAATCACCGCGAGAGAGGCCGCGGCCCGTGATTGGCTGTGATTGGCCGTGATTGGCCGTGATTGGCCGTGATTGGCCGTGATTGGCCGTGATTGGTTGTGATTGGTTGTGATTGCTCTGCGAGCTTGGTGTCCAGCTGGGCTGTGGGTCCCCTGCTCCCGTCCCGTCCCCAATGCCTCCCTTCCCGCCACATGGAAGCCTCCTCCACGGCCCTCCTGCCCGGAGGCCCTGCTCTGGCTTTAGTCTTTTCCTTGACTGGGGGCCTAAGGCGTCTCCTGAGTGGAGTGATTGGAGTTTCCTGGGCAGCAGTGGGGGCAGCTCAGGCAGGTTACTTGCTCCATTTGACAGGTGAACACACTGAGACTGATAGACATGGCAGGAAAGGGTTGCCGAAGGCTGAGGAGGTCTTTGAAGGTAGACGTTTGTGACTCATGGACAGACAGGGAGACCAGAGCATGCACGGCATCTCCAGGTGTCAGCAGGACCCTCTTCCGTCCAGGCCCGGTGCTGTCCATCCTCAGAGGTGCCTCATGGCCCAAAATGGCTGCTAAAGCTCCAGAAATCTCATCCACACTCCAGACTGAAAGAACGAGTAAGGTGGGAAGAAGAAATCTCACCCAGGGGCTCACGTGGATGGCATGGGCCACCCCCAGCAGCAAGGGAACCTGAGAAGCAGTGTCTTAGGGACGCGTACTGCTTGCCGAAGAAAATGGGGTCTGGGCAGCCAGCATCAGCACGGAGGAGGCGGATTCAAGCCTTCCGGGTGTTGGCCTGTTCGGCCCTGGAGAGCCTGGTCCTTCCTCTGGCCCAGGGCATCCAGACAAGTGGTGGCGAGAGGAATTCCTGGCGACAGGTGTCTGGTTGGCAGTGTGGCTGCAGGGAGCTGCCGGGCAGGAGCGCGTGAGACCTGTGGGCCGGGTGCACTTGTGAGGAGTCTCTGGGGAGGAAAGGCCCCAGGGCATGGTGCAGGGGCTGTCTGAGCCTCTAGCCTACAGGCCCCGTGGGCCAGCTGATGGCAGACCCTAGAGTGAGAGGCAGGTGTCCTGCCTTCGGGCTCTGGGCCTGGGTGTGGTGCAGGTGTTAGAATGAGCAGTGGACAGGTGAGGTAGCATGGGGTGAGCTGCTCTCAGCTCCGAGCTCAGTGTACATCTGCCTGGTCACAGAGACCCCTTCTGTCTGGCTGGTGGTTTCCATCCTCAGGGTTGCCTCATGGCCCAATGTGGCTGCCAGAGCTCCAGGAATCACATCATGCCCTAGGCTGGAAGGAAGAGGAAGGTGAGGAGAAAGACGAAAGGACCTTTCGGGGCCTCTTTCCCCTCTGTGTACAGTGGGAGAAGCGGGCTTGCTCTCAAGCCTTCTTCTTTTGTGAGATCTGAGAGTCTAGTCCCAGCTCTGGTAGGATGTTACCGAAAGAGTAATGAGCCCTAGGGGGTTTGAAAAACTTCACAAAAACGTCCAATGCCAAGACTTGCCGCTGTGTGTGTACACACGTGTGTGCGTTCATGTGCGCGTTCATGTGCGTGTGCCCTCACTGCGTGTGCTCATGGGCCCGCCTCTCAGTGTCTTTCTCTCCCTCTCCCTGCAGATGTGAGGTGAGGATAAGCTAGCGGCCCTTTCCCGGGACACGGATGTACATGGCGTGTTACATTCCTGAACCTACTATGTACGGTGCTTACTGCCAGCGTGCGGTCTTTGTTCTCCTCCGTGAAAAACTGTCTCCACGCGCACCCTGGAGAACAAAGAGACAGTGTACGTCTGTTTAACGTGACATCAAAGCGAGTATTGTGGCGCTGGGCGAGCCGCTCAGAGCTTCCTTGTCCAGAACAGCGCGCAGAACCGAGCGGCTCCGACACGCTTCCCCCGCCGCGGGGATGGAGGGCGCCTGGGACGGCAGCGACGGACGCCACGCGGATGGACTTCTGTCCGGGTCACAGGTGCTTTGCCAAGGACACGGTGGACCCGCTCTTGGCGAGGACAGGCCGGCGCCGCGGCCGCCGGGGCACAGGAGCCTCTCGGAGCCGCCGCGGCCGTAGGAGCCGCATCTCCTTGCTGTAGTGTTTAAGTCTATACCGAACCTTTCTGAGAGCCTTAAGTGGGTTTTTTTTTACACCATAAAGTGATTATTAAGCTTTCCTTTTTACTCTTTGCCTAGCTTTTTTTTTTTTTTTTAAATTATCTCTTGGATGACATTGACACCGGTAACACCAGGCTGCTGTAACTGCCGGGACAGCGAGACGGTACCTTTCCCAGCAGGATGCGAGCGAACGCGATGTATTAAATAAACATGGTATACCCGCCTACGAGCATTTCCTAGATGTTTCTGGCTGCACGTGCTTCCCCTGGCCCCACCTCGTTTTGCTTTTTAATTTAAGCCACACTGAGAGAACCATGCGTGAATCAATCAGCCGCCACCTGCCCGCCCCCAGCGCTCCCCGCTCCTGCGGGCGTGGCCGGGGAGGCGGCTCCCGCTGCCCCTGTCAGGACACAACCCAAATTCTTTATTTTTGGTAAGATGTTACGCTTCCGTGTACTCAAGAGAAACGTGTGTGTGTTGCTTTTCGTTTTTGTTTGTAAAGGTCATGTTTGTATTTTTATCTAATATTACCAGTTTTATATACCTGAGAGCCTGTTACGTTTTTTGTTGTTTTTGTTTTTTAACCGAAAGGGAAAGAAAAACACCAACAAAACCCATACACATGACACGCAATTCGTGGTCCCATTTTCCTCGGTGGGTAACTGAGTCTTGGTTTCATCTCTGGTCTCGGCCCGTGGTGGCTGCCAGTGCTCCTGGGAGGGGAGGTCACAGCCTCTGGGCCCAGGGTGTCCCTGGCCGGCCCCCCGCAGCAGAACGTGGGGTGCAGCCTGCTCTCGGGACCGGAACCTGGCGGGCATGGGTCAGAGGAGCCCCTTCGCCGGTGCCTGTAGCCATGGAGATGGAGGCGTCCACCCTTCAGAGCAGCCACATGGATGAGGAGGGTGAAATGCAGAGGTGGGACCTCGCTCCCCATCCTGAGGCCACACCCCAGTTGCCTGTAGGGCTGTCTCCTGTGTCTGTGTGTTCGTGGTGGGGTTTTTATAAAGAAACTAGTGGCCCGGTGCACGGATTCATGCATGTTGAAAGGAAATTAGAAGAAATATTGCCGAAACCAGTTTGCTTCAGTGGATAGAGCGTCGGCCTGCAGACTGAAGGGTCCCGGGTTCGATTCCGGCCAAGGGCATGTGCCTGGGTTGTGGGCACATCCCCAGTGGGAGATGTGCAGGAGGCAGCTAGTCGATGTTTCTCTCTCGTCAATGTTTCTAGAAATATATTTAAAAAAAAAAAAAAGAAGAAGAAATATCGTAACTTCGCTCTCCAGCCTTTATAACAAGAGTCAACCAAATTCACGATGGACAATGACAGATGGAAACACACGCGTGCGATCGGCGCCAGCGCGAGCTCTATGTGTGTGGTGCATGCGCGAGTCAACTTAGTAGCCTCTTATAGAACAAGCTTGCTTCATTAGACCTGCTTTCTGATGCAGCTCAACTTTTTCCAGCCAGTGCAGCACCCCAATTTCTCCTTCAGGTAGTTGTCAGCAACACAGCAGGAAATATCAACACGAAGCAGATTATTATTGTAGATCACGCAGGGAGAACCAAGGGTGAAATATTTAACGCAGCCGTGTCTGACTGTATTCTGCGCAGTGAGAAACCCTGACGTCATTGTCAAGGTCCACCATTTCTTTCTTCTGTTCAGTCGGGTCAAGTTTCTAATCTTTCTACATCTCTGTTTCCTGGCTAATGAAAGGAAAATAGGATTCTACCGAGTCTCCTGTCTGCCTACTCCAGGACTTCTGTGAGGATCAAATGATTGTTACAGTGTAAAATGTTTCTACCTGGCTATAAAGCAAGTCGTGTTCCTGGGCTGAAGAAACACCAAGAAGGCCAGTCGCTAGGGGAGGAGCTATGTGACGTCATTACCCGGGTGGACGCTGAGCACATTAGCGTTTTATATATGGACTAGAGGCACGCCAGCCCAGCCCCTGACAGTCAATCCGCCATTCGGGCGATTTGCATGTTACATTTTTATTATACAGGATTCCTCCGGCACAGGCTTTCTCCATGTGGTTCTTGGGACGGCGCCCCTGGAAGGTGTGGGGGGCAAGGGGTGGGCACATGGGTTGGGCCCCCTGGTTCTTGCAGGACCCCTGGAGGGCGGCACCCCCAGCTCGGGCGGGCGCTTCCTCGGCGTGTGCCTGACGCCGAGCCTCACGTCACGTATGAACGTGTCACGCGTGTGCTTGTCTGCGAGACGCCGAGGACACCGCTGTTTTTCTTCCGTGACCCCAGCGGGCGAATGGTCTGCCCGGAGCCTCGTGTGTCCTTGGGGAGGAGAAGGTGCCACCGGAGAGGCCCGGTGCCTGTGGGGGGCCTGGTGG